TATATATATATATATATATATAAATATTTATAGTGAGTGACCCTTATATAGAGAAACTTGTAATGTTTGGGGTTTTACCATTTTTTGAAAGAAGTTTCTTATGCTTACCAAGGCTACATTTGTTTGATCAAAATACAGTAAAAACATTAATATTGTGAAACAATTATTTCAGCCAGTCTTTAGTGTCACATGATCCTTCAGAAATCATTCTAATATGCCGATTTACCGCTCAATAATAATTTATTATTATTATCAATGTTGAAAACAGTTGTGCTGCTTAATAGTTTTGAGGAAAAATTATACTTTTTTTTAGGATTCTTTGATTAATAGAAAGTTCAAAAGAGCAGCATTTATTTGAAACATAAATCTTTGTAACAAATGTCTTTACTGTCACTTTTGATCAATTTAATGTATCTTTGCTGAATAAAACTATTCATTTCTTTAAAAAAAAAAATCTTACTGGCCCTGTTTTGAATGGTACTTTATATATAAATGTATATATTTTTTATAAATAAATGTATAATACTGTTACAAATGATATATTATTTATTCATATCAAAACCCTGATGGTCTTGAACTTACATTAGTGATGGCTTCAGTGTTGGCTCCTGTAACACAGAGATGACGCACCACCTCCAGACCACCGTTACTAGCTGCCAGGTGAAGAGCTGTTCTCCCAAACTACAGACAAATAAACAGCAAATATCTATTAACACTCTTTCTGAGAATTATTCATCACAAATGCTAACTAGAAAACAAAAGGTCAGAAAATTGTTCAAGTGTATAACAGTGCAGAATGCTTATGATTCAATTTCATATTAATATAATTCAGTTCCTCTTGACCTGTAAAGCCCTCAGTTAGAAGGAACTAAAATCGTCTTCCAGCTGTAATGGAAGTGCCATTTAAAAATTTCACACAGAATTAACAAGCATGCATAACTGGTATGTAAAAAATTCAAGAAAATTGCAACCAAGTAATTGGGGTCAGTTGAGGGGACTTTAAGAAGTGAAAAAGGAGTGGATGATGATTCAAGACTGACAAGAAAAAGCGCACTCATTAATACTTGAATAAAACAAAGGTAATAACTGGTATATAATGGTTTCTGAAATGACTGGAGAAAAAAAATCCCTTTGGAACCTAAACTGTGTTTATTGCATACATATCCTGAAAGTTTCCTTTAAATGCAAACATGTGGAAGCTTAAAGATTTTAGTTTGTTACAAGCCAAACATGTAATCGCTTTAGTATGGAAAAACATTCAAAGACCTTTCCTTTCACAGTGGACCAAAGAGATGTACGGAACCCGGGAAGTCACCTGTAGGAGAAAAAAAAACAATCCGTGGCGACGGTTTTGCATTCCGTCCCCTCAGTTTATTAACCGTACTCACGAATTCTTAAACGGTTCCCTCGGTTTAACAAATCGTGCCCACGGATTAATAAACCGTACCCACGAATTTCCAATCCGTGCGCTCAGATTTTGTAAACCGTACCTTCGGATTTTGAATCCGTACCCACAAATTCATAATCCGTGCGCACGCTTTCGCATTCCGTTCCCTCGGGTTTGTAAACTCATGGATTTGTGGCCCCGCCCCCACCGGCAGATTCAACCACGGTGCGGGATGCATAGTATTGTGTTTATTAAACATTATTTTTCATAGTAGCCTATGAATGAGACCATGATCCGCACTCACAAAATAGTCTTCTTTTTAGCGTTTATTTTATATGAATCAACAATAGGATAAAACACCACCGCCTGTGTTTTATAGCCTAAAATAAATAATAATAGCCTAATAAAAAGTAGAATAGAAAATTTCCTGAATTTTCTAAAAAAAAAAACTAGATGCAAGCACACCATGATCAAGGGTGAAGGGTAATCAATAATTATTTTGAATGGCAAGCTATCAATGTATACAACAAAAACAGCATGCATCAGAAGAAACAGAAGGTGTTTTAATATTAAAAAAAGACACAGTCCACCGTTAAAGAACAATAAATCGCCCTACCACTTCAGTTGTTAATGGCTAATATTTAATAAGTGTCTGTCCTCACCTTATCAGCAGAGTCCAAGTTCGCCCCATGCTCCAGCAGACACTCCACGATGTCCTTGAAGCCGCGGGCAGAAGCGGTGAGTAACGGGCTCTCGCCCTCACGATTCCGGGCGTTCACATCACAGCCAGCCTCGCACAAGGCTCTGGCAACCGCCGAGTAACCATGCCAGGCTGCACAGTGGAGAGGTGTCTCCTGCTCCTGTGGAGGCATGAAAACATTCTTTGGCATTCATAAATAACCTTGAACACATGGAGCTAACAAAACAACATTAGTCTGTGTCAAGGCCATTTCATGTGATGAATTGCTCTTAATTAATTAGCCTGTGACCCTGACACCTCCAATGAATGTAACAATTTGAAACATACAATCCGTGGCTGTGTCTGCCTCCTGTTTGAAAAATAATGTGTTTTTTGAACATTAAAGCATGTCAACATATTCTGTTACACCAAATACACAAAATAATGATCTTTAAAATAGCATCATATGACCCCTTTAAGGTACAGCATGTTTTTAAGAGTGACTCCTTCCTGAAATCTATCAATTAGGACACTTTTGCTTTTGTGGCGGGAGATGGATGCTCCCTAAGCAGTATTTCTAAAAGCACAGGAAACTACCTGCCTATGAACGTTAATGCTGTGAGCTCATAGTGCTGAACAAATAAAGTGAGGCATGAACATGATTCGTTTTCAGCACTCCTGTCACTTCAGCACTTGCGAAACCATTCATTACATTTACATTTCCCACTGTCATCAAAGACATCTGAGATCAAGTATTTTCTTTTATAAAAGAACATTTTCTTTTTTTCCAAGTTGAACGTTACTAATATAAATACATTAGCATTCCAACGTTGGGGTTGGTGGGATTTTCTAAAAGAAGTCTCTTATGCTCACCGAGGCTGAATTTACTTTTGATTTTACTACAGTTTAAAATGTCTGTTTATTTCTGCGATGGCAAAGATGAATTTTCAGCAGCCATTACTCCAGTCTTCAGTGTCACATGCTCCTTCAGAAATCATTCTAATATGCTGATTTGCTGCTCAAGAAACATTTCTTATTATTATCGATGTTGAAAACAGTTGTGCTGCTTAATACATTTGCGGAAACATTTTTTGATGATTAGAAAGTTTAAAAGAACAGTACTTATTTTAAACAGAAATAAACAATTTAATGTATCCTTACAAAAATAATCTTACTGGCTACTGTAGTGTATACTGGAAACTACTTTAAAGTGCCCCTATTATGGATTTTTGAAAATTACCTTTCATGCAGTGTGTAACACAGCTCTAAGTGAATGAAAACATACTGCAAAGTTTTAAATCTGAAAGTGCACCATGTATAAAATTATTGTCTCTCAAAAGAAAGAGTCGACTCTGAATCATTGAAATGAGTCGTTTTTAAAACGAATCCCAAGCCGTTTCATGTTGACGTCAACATGAAACATTAGCATATTGCCCGCCCACTTGTTGATCTTTTCAATGAAAATGTTTTTTGACCTTGCATGCATGTCAATCTGTTGTTGGGGACTCCCAAAACCAAAATATGAACCTTTCATTACCCATAACAGGGGCAATTTAAAATAATTATGAATTGTGTAATACGGATCTAAATATTTATAATTAATTATAACTAGTTATGATTAATTATTCATATTTCCCCATGAGCTGATTCGCTACAGAAGTAATACTTAAAAAAAAGATACACTCAAGATCTTCATCATTAAAAATAGTACTTCATGTGGACTCACATGAGATGAATACTCCAGTCATATCAGAAGGCTAATAAGAGTAGCAGACATCTCATGACTGATGAAAAAACTAAGGTCACATGACCAACCCAACACTACTCTTTTTATATCTTTATCTACCCTTTAAATGTAGGGTGATGAAGTATCATGTCTGCATGAACAGGGTGTGCGGAGATATGCAAATATATGCACTGACAGTCAGGTAGGACAGCCTATCCTAATCATAATCCTTCGAACCAAGGAATATGATTGGATGAACATTTTATGGTTCTACGCCTTCCACAGACAATATAAATATATATAAATTCATTTAGACACTTAAGTTGCTGATTGCTATCAGGATGTGAAAAGACTTTCAAGCAGCGTAACAAAAAAAATGTTTTTATTATTTTTTTTTTTATAAATCACCTACCCTGCCTTTAATCGGTCATCTATTAAATTAAATTACTGTTAATATCGCATTTGCACAATGGTAACTGAACTTTTGCGTGATGCTGTATCCACACCGCTAAGTGTCATATATTAGTCCACAGAGGCTTGGGCTGTTCAGCGTGGTGTAGATCAGTTTGTGTGTGTGTGTGTGTGTGTGTTTGATACCTACCCGGTCCACTAGGTCAGGGTTGGCATGGATGCTGCAAAGGTATTGGACTACATCCACATTACCATAGCGAGCTGCCACATGCAGAGCCGTTTCTCCAGACTAAAACAGAATGTCAAACATTATGAATTACATGCTGACGTCTGCCCATAATTCAGTGATGAGCAGGCATTTTATTAATGTGATTACACCCTGATGATCTAAACAAAAAAATGCAATGACCATGTGTGTGTGTACATCAGGGAAACTATCAAAACTGCTGAACAAGAAACAGCTAAGAACTTCATTAAAGGATTTCCCTGCTGCCGAAGTAGGGTTATAGCAACTGGAAAGGCTGCGTAAACAGAATGTGACCCGTTCAAGGGAGAGATCTTTGTGTGCCAAAACCCTTCCCAAATCAGCTTTGCGCTGGACTTCCTCCTGGAAACAGTTCAGGCTGAGGCGGATGTTTAAAGAACTCGCTTTACACTCGTAATGATGAAGCTGCGGACACGCCAAGTGTGATTCTGTATGGCAGTCCCGACAAACTCAACAACACTTTACCCGGCGAATTCGCTTGACTGAGCACACTTCACTAACTAGTGAGGCAGTCAACAATTATTTCATACAGTAGCAAACCTCAGGCCAGCGAGTAACCATAGCAACTGCAAATTACCAATGGGAAGTAGAGAGGCGTGTGAACTCAGAACTCAGTAGGAAAGGTTTTCTGGAGAAAAGGTGCCAGATGGGGAAACCCTTTGAAAAATCGAATCTGTCCTCTCCCTGGGGTTGTGATTGTTGAGTGTGTGTGTGTGAGAGAGTGAGGGAGATAGAGAAAGATGGAGGCACCTTATCTTGGATGTCCAGAGGGCACTTCTTTTCATGCAAGAATCTCAAGGTCCCCACATGACCATGTCGGGCGGCATGGTAGATAGCGGTGGCTCCAGTCTGAGGAAAAGAATGGCATGTTGTGTGGAGTTGTATGTATTTTCAGCCGTTTTGGTGTCTATCATGTCCAAATTTACCATTTAAACCCTGTTAAAACTACTGGTGAAACGTATTCAGTGTCTTCCTCTAAGTTTGATGTTTTTTTAATGAAATGAATACTTTAAGACATTAAAATGAACAATAGTATGAAGGGTCAGTAACTGCTGCTGAAAATTCAGCTTTGCCATCACAAGAATAAATTACATTTTAAAACATATTAAAATACAAAATACTAAACTGTAATATTTATTATAATATATTAATATATTATATACTATATTATATATTTATATATTATAACCTTTCAATATTTAAATTGAAATATTATTTCACAATATTAGGTTTTTTTTTTTTTTTTGTATTTTGATCTAATAAATTTAGTCTTGGTGAGCATAAGACATAAAACAAAAATCATACCAACCACAAACTTTTGAATAGTACATTATTTTCTTGTACATTAATTATCTGAGAGAATGGAGTACAACACCTTATCAAAGGCTTGAATCTCCGCTCCTTTTTTCATTAGCACATCAATGATCTGGACGTTTCCACAGCCCGCAGCAATCAGGAGCGGAGGGGTTCCGTGCTGAAATATGTACACACACACACACAAACAGGAATCACTTTATTGAATATAACAAGGCATTAATAGCTCCTCGTAGCATTCAAAAGCAGCTTTAATTAAACCTATAATTCTGAGTCAGCATGAGCATGCCAATTCAAATCAGCCTGATTCCTTTTTCATTGTTCGCACAGCAGTTTTAATTGGCGAAGAGCAATCACGTTGGTTGGTAAAAAATTCTTGCAGGCACAAGACTTGAATTGTTTCTCAAGAATGGCGATAAACTCCTCTGAATTAATAAATGCATGAGAGTCATGGGAATAGTGTTCCCTGTGCATACATAAACACAGAGAGCGCTGGACAGCTGTGAGGAATACAATTAAAAGCACGCTTGTCCCTTCACATCTGTGAGCAGATTACCATTTCATCAACCTCGGCCTCATTCCCTCCTTCTAAACAAACACTTTTCCTGTGTCACACACATGCCATACACACAAGACATTCGGTATCACCGTTGGGGTGGGGTGGGGTTATGTTAGTTCGTTTGAGTTTCCCTCTTTTCTTCGCTTTCAAATGGCTTGTAAAAGTGCCGTGCGCATTGTAGGGTTTTTCAGCTCAACAAGGGAAATATTTATGACTAATTATAACTGGTTATGATTAATAATAAATATTTAGATTATATCTTCGAATTAACTGTAGCAGAATCAATATTACAATTATTTGATCTGTCCGTCCACCGAGCAGACAATATAATCATTTATCAATTCAAGGAACGATTATTTTCCTGGCCAAGGAAGAATAAACTGTCCTTCTTTATGCAGTGCTAGCAGTAATTTAGCAAATGTAGCAAGGGTTCAAACATTCATTGACTTCGAATTGTGAGCAGCAAACAGAAGCAATCGATCGTGAATATAAGGGATTTAATAAATGAAACTATATCTAACATATAACTAAACAACACACATATATATACAGAATGAAACAAAGTAAGGAAAAGAGAGAGGAAAGGAAAAGGATGGCAGTATTTCACATCAATTTTAGACACAACCTTTGAGAAACATCAGAGAATCAAAAAATCACCTTAAAAGGGGCTGAGACTTAAACACGCATCTAAATAATTGTAAACGGTTACTTGCATTGGTTTCGATTGCTGAACAAGAGTCCTGATGAGGTAGACAACGGAGGTCTTTGATAAGTTCGTTAGGAGTGAGCTGGAGGTTTTACTTCTGGTTCTTCTGAAGAAGGAAAAGTCCACAGCGACTAAAGTTACTTGAAGATAAAAACTGCCGGAAAATAAAAACTCAAGAGGAAAAATCTTGAGAGTCTTGGAAAAGTGTCGTCTCAAACGAAGAGGGTTTCTGAGCAAAGATTATTTCGGGCTAATGCCTTTTGAGGGTTTGTATTCACACCCCCTTTTAGGTGGAATGGCCAATCAGAGGCATGAATTTTGAGCGGGAGAAACTTTCTTTGTCTCTTGTTTATGGCCCATTTGCATGTTTATTGCTGGTCTGGAAGATTGGTGCAGTTTTACCCAAAATATGCTACAAATAGTAAGATGCATTTCACGATCGCATAGTGTAGATCATTGTTTGAGGAATAAAGAGCTGATCATTTTGATACCAAGAACGAAACATCTAGAAGATCTTAAAGCAGAGATACACTCATATACCTGAATATAAGCATTGAGAGTCTAACTAATACAAATAAAAAGTTGTAACTAGGCTAATACAATAGGGAAACATACAAACAACACATGCATATACCAGATACAATTATAACTGATTAATTATAGTCTAAATAAAGAAATGTCTTTATGTGTGTGTGTTTGTGTGTGTGTGTGTTAGTTTGCTTGGTCAGCCGGCCTGGCCTGTTGTGCCTGGCCCCGGGGGGTCATTTACGTCTCTTTGGAATGTGTTTGAAACCCCACATGAAGGTGCGAGTGGTGAAACTGTTTAGCATCTCTTTGAGAGTGGGGGGGAACCATTTGACATTTAGCACCCATATAAGTGTAACGTCTGTGACCAGGACTGTAATTTATATGCAAATGTCAAAAGCTAAAAGGGTCTCTTAAGCCATAAAACCCAAAGATCATGCATGATTCTACGCAGACGCTACAGAGGTTATGTTCTAGTTTGTTCTAACACAAGCTTCAATGTTTACCATGTATGATGTGCTCTGTGTGTGTTTATATGTGATTAAAAGCCTAAGTGAAATCCTTATACTATAGTAATAACAATAAATTAGTCCTATGGTACCTACTTGTTGTTTATTAACATTACTCAGCATTATTAAATTAACATTACTCTTAATTATATAAATGTAACAAGGACATCTTAAAACAGTGATCCTCAAATATGGCTCATGAGATCCACTTTCCTGCAGAGTTTACCTCTAACCCTAATCAAACACACCTGAG